GCCATTGTCAGTGAACAAATTGCATGCTTTCAGCTGACATTGATTTTCAGTAGTATTGCCAGGCATTTTAAAACTTCCATCTACCCATGCACTTGAGATTTTATATATTTTAAATTCAGAACTTCAGTCCATGAAAATATTTGGGGATTTGGGACATGAAAGGAAATTAATACCAACAAAGTTATGTTTCTTCTACAATGTTAAGTATACATATTTTCTAAAGACCTCTGTTTTTGTCACCTTACAAGCACCTCAACATAATGGTTTTTAATTGTTTACATGTTAAAATGGTATGTTATCTATACTTACTCATTATTCTGAAAGGGAACTTTTAAACATACTTACTGATGTTATAATAGTTAAGAAGAATCCTTTCTTTTTCCTTGTTGACACAAAAGTTCTTCTTAGTATTAATAACAACAGGATGCTCACTTACAAGTTATGACAGTTGTTTCCAAAATATATTTGGCAAAACAAAAGAGAAACCACAGAACAAATCAATATAATAATTGCACATGCTAACAGACAATGCATATGTGGCACAATTAATTGTTTGCTGTTGAGCAGAATAAACAATCCTTTCAACTATAAGTTTCAACTATAACTCACTAATAATTGTTATTATTTGGAAAAAATAAATTCATCCCATTTGGAGCATTACAAGAATTTGGAGAACTGAAACAGTAAGTACCTCTTTCCCAGATATAACTAACATTTATAAAAATACATCCATATCAAAAATGTACTGACTGATTTGTATGATACTGTTCCTGTCTTCTCAAATAATTAAAGATAAATAATATGTTTGGAAGTTGGTAAATACAGTGCAACTACTGAGACATTCAAAATACTGACATTGTATCATGTGCTAACATGAAGATTTATGAGTAGTTTGTTGTGATTTTCACAGGCACAAACTTCAAGGGTAAAGTGACATTCTTGCAAATTGTTTAAATGTTTCTGGGAGTGATTTCTGGAATAAACTACCACATATCAAATACATATGTTAATAAATTAGCAACAGTTACATCACAACAATTATTTAGTTTTCTTGGCAGTATAAACTTTCTTTAGTCTAAAAATCTTGCACAAATATCAGCATTACAAGACCACACAACTAAAGCACAAATATAACTGTTTGAGAAACTGCCAATAGCAGAAATTTTCTCAAAAAAGGTATACCAAAAGACATACAAACAGAAATGAAGTACATAATTTGGACTGAACAGCTGTTTTACATCACTGCAATGGTCATATGTCATTACTGATGCTGTTTACACTGAAAAATGAATAGAAAGTAAGACATCTGAATACAGCATTTCTTCACCACAGCCAAAAACGTGTTCTGTGATAACATATTGCATCATTTATGTGGAGTATCAATGAAACCATATTTTGGCTGCTAATATTTAGTCTATTAAATAAATCAAAACCCTGTATAGTGTACTTTAGAACAAAGCACAGAAAAGTACAAAAAAAATGTCTATCAATTTTATGGCAAGACAAGGTAAACAAAGCAATACATGGCCAGCAATTCCATGTCACATCTCTGCTACTGCCCAAAATGATAGGTAGTACCATCTTCTCATGAAAAGCAAAATCTACTTTGACAATAAGTGTTACATATGCATATACTTCTGTATGCAATGTGGACTTTAATAGGGTTTGATGCTGTTAAGTATGACAGTTTATTTAAATACAAATACATCCTTCATTTGCTTCGTAGATAACATTTTATGTTCGAAACTGACACTTATTCAGTAGCTTCCATGCTCATTATAATTGCTTAAAGAGGTAAGTAGTGTATAGTCAGTTTTCTGTAAACTCCTGCCTGTTAATTTAGATATAGTCCAGTGTACTGGTCTAGCAGATTCACAAAGCTGTTCATCAATACTATGGGAGCAACTAATATGGTATATCTTGACTGACACTATAGCAATTAAAACAGAAAGTAGACAGATTGCCTCATTAAGAAAATTGCTTCCTTATGAGTGTGGGAGAAATTAAGAAAAAATCAGTCAGGGTAGTTGGTGTAACAGATCAAACAAAAAATAAAGCAAGAACTACACCACAGCATTTATGACAAATCACGACTATAATTCTTACTCCAAGCTATCAACCGTTCAACATATTATGATTTCCCTCAGTGCTTACAGGAAAATGTTTGACAGATCCATGCTATGACCATGACTGTATACTCCCCAGTCGTCTATTATGTCACTAAAGTTGGCAAACAGTTGAGAAATCTTTCTCACAATAAAACCACAAACATTTCACAGAAAGCATATGAGAATTAAAGATTTTGTAGTGTCACTGTGAGTGTCATCACTCTTTACTGAAATAGTTTAACCTTTATCATAAGGGAATAAAGGATTTGACAACATGAAACAGGGGCTGCCAATCAGACTTTACCACCACACTTAACAGTTTAGTGATATGCTACTATGACTCAGAAGCGAATGGTCTACTTATAAGATGTGATGCATGGCCAATAAAGTTAAAAGTGTGAAGGAAGTATCTGGTTCCTCTCAATGTCTTTACAGGCCTTCAATTCCGATTCTTTTTCACCTATCTTATGTAACACATCTTAAAAGATTCTCAAGAATGTAACATAAATCTGCTTTATGAAAATATTTTATAGAACACCAGAGTGCAAAAGTAAGATATTACAACCAAAAAGGAACAACAATATGCCCTAAGACAAAGGCAGCATCTTGCATCTATTGCATATATGGTATACCAGTTTTGGAAAATCATGTTTAACTACGTGTAAAGGCTTGAATTGCAATCATGGCAGGAAACAGATGAATCAAGTGAAAACTAGACTTGAGGCAGTAAAGGTTGGAATAGGATGGCCAAGGTTACCAGGTAAATGCCATATTCTGAATAGGAATTTAGAGGAACCAAAAGGAAGAAATAATATCACATCTAAGTCTAGTTAACATTTGATGTGATCTTTCCAAATTCTTTAATGCCACTTTTCATATTATTTTCATATGTACATTGAACAACATTTGTGAATTAACTTGAAATGCACTTGGCAATTGGCAAGAAACTCACAAAAGTAGAAGTACTGTTTCTTTCTTGAAAACTACAGTTCTCCCAAAGTTTTTCCTACACAATTTCAGTTGTCACCAACTTGCAATCTACTTCTTTGACACTGGTCTATAAGCCAATTTGCGACTCTTGACGATTGACCACTTGTGGCGCTTGTAGTAATAGGCAACAGAAAGTAGCAAGGAGAATATGAAGATGCTCTGAAACGTGATTAAGCACAAGTTAGATATGATGCTCTAAGGCTGAGAAAAGAAGAAACACTTATTTCGCAGAGTAAAGATTCACAGAGATATTGATGAGAAATTAACAATCTGAAGGCTGAATGTTCTAGCAATGTTGTAATTACGTTTTGTCTACACATGGTTGGTGACTGGACGCTACTACAGTTCCTTATACACTGCATTACCAATATGATATGCAAAATTATCAGACAGATATCACTTACAAATTGAAGAACATATTTAAAAGCTCTTACAATACTATATATATAGTACTTTGGAAAAGGTATGTTCCTCTGCTAGTCTGTTCATCTGTCTTGCTGTATGTATGCTACATCACCCAGCATGTATATATTAATGTAAACAAAGGCACTTACAATTAATGAAGGTTTGTTATATTCTATAGATGCACACAGCAAAAACTGTAAAACTACACAAATTAATTTAAAATACATTTATAAAACTGGGATTCCATCCAGATGTAGTTAATTTGGATTACTTTAATTTATTTTAGGCTTACAAGTTAAGGGTTATCACTACTAACCTTAATGAACATCAGCTGCCTTTGGTCATACTCAGGCTCAGCAGCCCACTTCAGGAAAGTTGAAACATCCTTTGCAAGCTGACTGGCATAAGCAGGAGTATCATCTGCATATTCTATAGTCTGTAAAACAGTCAAATTCAGGATTAGTAATATGACAATTTTCACTTTATGATCATACTGGGGAAAGAATTTTGAAACAATAAATCCAAAATAAGGGACTGTTTGAGGTTATTCCCAATGACTATATTTTATAAACATTTTACAGCTGGGGATTAAGCCAGTCTTATAATCAAGTGCTTTACCAGTAAATATTAGAATATACCTCATTGTACAGAGCCTGCGCCATACTGATAGCACCTCCAGGGAAGTATGGATTATAATACTGTCCTTCCCTCAGGGGAATCCCTGCTGGAGCATCACAGTAGCCAGTGAGCAGGGCAAATACATAGTCCTGAAAGAAATTATTACACACAATGACCACATATACATCACAAATTCATGACATTATATGGTGCTTCACCCACATTACATGATCATCCATTTTACTTGGTACTTGAAGCAAGAGAATAAGATGAATATTAGAACCACCAAAACTAGTGATAATACCAAAATGCCCTATAAAGGTACCCTTCCTGAAGAAGGCAGCAGAATTAGGCATCAAAATGTTCTATATCTTTATCAGCTAAAAAATGGGCAAAGTCCACAGAAAGTATTTCCATGATAATGTCTAATTTCTGTAATCAATTAGAATGTTACTCATCACCAGTAACAGTATCCCAAAAAACAAAATGGTTCCTCAATATCTCTGTTAAGACATAACATAATGCCACTGCACCAGATAGTCATGTTTACAAACCGTTCATCTTTACAATGTCATTGGTAATAGATGCTTGACAATGCTCAAATATTTATTTGCATAGTAATGTTACCTACTAGACACTTCATGTGTCATACTAACAACTTCCTTCAATGAGAATTTAATGTATAATTAATTTTCCTTTATTAAAAAGAATATATTTTTTATACATCCTGCTGATTTCCAATAACTTGTCTTAAGCAGGTTTTCTAGAATTTTCCTTGTGTGCATGTATATTTATTCAAACAAACACCCCTTTAATTCACAGAAATATCAGTCAGTGTAAGCACTTGTTGATTTTGACAAAAATAATTATGGTTTTTGAAATTTAATACCGTTGACAGAATAGAAAATAGACATTAAAGGAAAGTATTTTAAATTCCAATTATCATTATGTTTTCAGTGGAAATTACAAACAGACTTGACTGCTCACAAAATGAGGTAAACTGTAAAAAATTTAAATTATGACAATATAAAAAAATGTAATAATGCACCTGGTTGAGGGCCACATTTTTATGAAGTTTAGATTTAAAAAAGTTATAAAGTTTTTGTACACATTTAGTTAATAGAGAATCGCTGCTTATCCACACGCATACATACATACCTCTCCACCATGTCGAGCAAGTGTGATATAACTTAAATCTGGTGGAAAAGCTCCATTGTTCGCAGCTCGGGCAGCTTCTTCATTTGGATAGGGGTTGGGGAAATAGTCAGAGAGCTTTCCAGGCCTCATATACATGTTTCCTGCTTCATCTGGACCATCTTGCACCTAGAAGCAATAAAAAATATTATATAGCTTAAAATTAATAAAAGCTCAATTATTGTACACAGTAATTTTGAGTGACAATAGTTTAATTTTACTGGCAGACAGAATGGAAGAATGCCACATGAAAAACGGCTGCACAATTTAAGATATGTTCTTTCTTACTGGTCAGTTATTTTACAGGTTACTTAAAGACATTGTGTAAATTATATAAGTGGTATACAGTATGGTAAACAGCAACGACAGGGAGACTGGGTTTGTGACCTGTTTAACTGGATCCGGCCTAGCATTTGTTTTTGAAGGATTGAGGAAAAACTAGTATAGTCAGCATCTCGGCTAAGATATGAACCAGTACCACTTGAATACAAACTACATGCACTAATAAAGAGCTAACTTTGGTCAAGATTTTGAAATTCTCATGTTGACGAGTATGAAGATGGCTATCTTCAAGGACGTTGCACTGTGTAGTCTGATAGAAACTGACCATCGCGCTGATTAAAGAGGCAGTAAGCACATTCAAAATGTTAATCAATTTCTACAAGACTACACAGTGCAACATCACAGAACTTAGCCATCTTCAAGAGTTAACCTGTCTGGTATTCCTTGTGTTTTCTGAAGACAGAATGAACAGTGACAGACTTCATCACATACAATTCTCAGTTTTGTATTAAACTCTCATTTTTGTTGCCATAACAATGACTTACAATTTTTTATTTCATGACAAAATACTCTGTCCCTCTCACTCTGTTTAACACTACATTGGCACCATACTGTGAGTAGAGACTTCTGCACATCTGGCCCAGAGCTGTAAGTTTTGCAATAGTAAGTATGAGTGGTGCCAGATTTATGTATAAGCCACAGTTTAGGGGCCTTGCTATTTGAGGGACTTCCAAACAGGTCTAGTGAGAATTTCTTTAAAAAAGCCTATATGTAACATATTTGAGCCTCATAAATCTATAGATTCAGCTGATGATAAAATGAAATTAAGATAAAGACAATGTTTTAAATTTTAGAAACAAAAGAAAAATTCCCATTGAAAACATCCAGTTTTGTTGTTGTTAAATTACTTCATCATGAAATAGTGTGCCCACATTATTATTCAAATAAAAATATAACTTTATTAATAATTTTTATATATTTTTTTTCCATTTTTACAGAGGCCTCATCTTTATCATACCCAAGATCCTCAAGAAGTGTTAATATGGCCATGAGTAACAGTAACTGCTTATGATAGCAAGAGGTAAATCTAAAGATTCCCCATTTGAAAAGTTTTTCTCCCCACTATTATGAATGTTACAGTCCCTTTATGTTTTCTCATTATACTGAATGACTTGGTACAGGATGTAATCCTAACATTGCAGTTATACCAAACTTAACATGAACAATGTGTAATTTTCTATGTGTGTAATGGTATCTTATATTTTTGCAGCTGCCATGAAAATAACAAAGAAAAAACTGTATTTCCCCAATTATACAATTTCTGCCTCCATAACAATAAAGAGAAAGTCAGAGATTTCTGTTGAAGACACAAAAACTTACTCTTATCTTCTGAATCAGTGTCAGCAAATGAGGGCTGGTACTGTTGTTTCATCTGTACCATGTCTTGTTAGAATATTAATTTCTGTGCATAATGTATACTCCATGAACAATGCAGACAGACATAACTGTGTATTATCATAACAGATGTTCTCAAAGTACACACACCTGAACTTCTTCTGCTTCTGCTTTGGCTTCTGCTTCTGTGTGGGAAACTCCAATCAAGTTACGATATGCAATATATTTCATGCTGTGGCATGCTGCACATACTTGTTTATACACTTCATAGCCCCGACGAATGCTACAGATCAGAACATAACACATAAGAAATTGTCTTCCAATTGTATGAATTCTGTTCTATTAAAAATCACCAATCACCACTTGATATATATTTATACAGACTCAGATAAATATTATGACTTGACACTATGTTCATGATTAACAAACTATAAGAACTGTAATTTCATTATTTCATTTTTGTGAATTTATTACATGTTCATATTGACTGTGCACTATAAATTAATTAAAAAGAAATCTTTCTCTATGGAAAAATTAAGATTTTACTCTGTCCAAGCAATGCTACATCTGTGAAATGTATACTAAATTAGATGTGAAGTAATTCTGACACAAGACTGAAAAATTCCACATTCAGCATTAGTACTTTTTATCCAAGTTATTGACATACATGTGAGATAGGAAAGAAAGGATGCATACCTTCAAGAATAATGAATAAAAAGTGCATAATGTACATACTAATTTGCTTCTATGCTGCAGTTTGTAATAAGATTCCCTTTACAAACCAAGAGTTTTCAGCTGAAGTGTGAACTTTCTCATTTAGCATAGCTTATGAGGAAATTCATGCAGTGCCATGTGTGTCACTACATGTCTCAGTCTGTAATCAGCTGCTGCCCATTTGCAGTTGATCATTACTACTACAGCATAAAATTCTTCACAGATTTGACTACTCTTGGTATGCCTCTTCTGTAGCAGTTTCCTGGTCTCCTGTCATTTTTGTCTTGTGGACAGCCTCTTATTATTGCCTTTCACTCCCTATAACACTGACTGTCAAACCACAGTTTTGCATTTCTTTCCTATTCTCTGAACAGGAGCACTGCTGCCTAATATTATTCTACTTCCCATACTGCAGGGTCTAGCTGGTTCACCTTAACACACTTCTCAACATTTTCTAGGTCCTCTATTGTATGGCATACCTTTGTATCACCATTTCAGTAGTGTAGGAGTATGTGGTACTTTAACATAAGACAAGCTACACTCAAGGTGGAGGGTTAGAAGTGAAAATCCAACATAAGGAATTTGTTACAAGATTCATACATGAAAGACATTCCCTTGTTTTTGTTTTGTTATTTCTCTTCCCCTTTTTAGTGAGTACCATTGAATTATATATCAGGCATTAAAAATCAGGTCTGAACTTATAGTGACTTTTTAAAAATTCAAATAATCTCATATTTTAGCACAAAAATACAAGAGAAATATCTTTATAGTACAAAGACCAGATGCATTATTAGGGAATATAAAATGGTTTGGATTTTGGTTTATAACAGTACATAAAATCTCAATTCAATGAAATTATAGGAAAAAACATGAGATTTGGGGTTTTCATGACAATGAGGATTATAATGATGATGATGGTGATCTTCTGGGTTCCGGTCATGTAGACTCATTTGTAGATGTCAATATATACCAGCATCTACTGACAAGTTTACATGGCACCAGAACCCAGACGAACATCAGCATCACACATTAAAATAGTTTTGAGTAAGATCTGATAACAAAAACTAAACCTAAAATTCAGAGACATGTACACATGATTACTAAATTGTGAAGTTATTCTACACAAAAGGCACAGAATAATTTTAAACTGACCATCCATAAATATTAACTGAAAAGATACTCAGATATGTATTTGTCAAAACACCCAAGAGCCAATCACCTCTCCACAACTACTGCCATTGACATCACTGGAAAAGTAGCACAGACCTGAAACTAATCAATAAGTACAAACACAAACATGTAAACAGCAACAAAATAATTGCATTTACCTGCTATGGTCAAGTGAAGAAAAGAAACCTTTATGACTCCAAGGATTATTTGGTGGATGAAGCTCAAGCTCTGAAGCCCTAACGGACTGCTCAAGAGCAAGCAGAAGTGCACCTGTTCCACCTGTCACAATCCCAAGTGTTGCAAATAACTGTAAAAAAAGAACCCTAATAGGAAAGACTGAACCCCACAACATTTCTATCATGGTCACAAACCACGCTTTATGTGTGAAGTTGTACTAACCGTTTTACGTCCTTTGGTCCAGGCACTGAAACTTGCTTTGGAGAAATTGCTAACCTGCAAGTTAAAAAAGTAACAAGCATGGTTAGGAGTCAAACATTACACATCACCATATTAATAAATGTAATTATCCACGTAAGAAAAAAAAGGCTGTCACCCTGGACATTTTAATGTGTAATACGTATATCTTGTGACTACACACTAAGAATATATTAACCTACTTCATGGAATCTTAATACTGGTTAAGATACCAAGGATCTGTACAATGTAATATTTATACTAATGAAGTCTGCTGGACGCAAAAGTTCTAATGTACGCAAACAGGTCTAGACTTATCATAACAGTTAAATATTCGGCACACCTGATGCCGTACAGCACCGTGATTCGGTTTTAAGAGCCCAGCTCCATAAATTCTTCCCACTGTAGCCGCCATTATGGACAGAAGATGTTAATATGTAAGTCAAACAAATAAATGGATTCATATTACATTTCCTAACGTTTATACTATACAATAAATATTATATAATTATAATTTGTAAACAAATATATGCAATCTTGAGTAGCATTTTAAGAATATCAGGGAAATAGAAATATCAAAACGCCATCTATTTGATTGTGTGACGTCACAAGTGTGTTGTACGCCATTTGTGTCAGTGAAAGATTTGAGCTCAGTGCAGATGGTGAAGTGATTCAGAAAATATCAGAAGAATCCTGTGTGTTGTAAGACTGAATTAAGATGAGTGCGGGAATGCCCGAACTTGGAAGTAAAATAAGTCTGATATCGAAAGCAGATATCCGCTATGAAGGGCGATTATTTACTGTGGATCCTCAGGAATGTACAATTGCTTTATCAAATGGTAAGTTAAAAACGTAAGCTTGTTTGGCTTCATGTTTGCATTCGACTGAAGGAATGAAACTATGTTGGATATAAAATATGTGCGATTGCATGTGGCACGCATCTTCGTTAATAATGTATTAAGTATTGTCATTCGTTCGTTACTTGGAAGATGTGGTTTTAGTTATCGGATGTCACACTTTTGACAGGTCTTCTCAGTTTTTTAGAGGTACCGCTTTTGTTTTTCTGTAAGAAAAATTATATGTCAATTATTCTCTTATTAACAGTTCGTTCCTTTGGTACGGAGGATCGTGAGACGCAGTATCCTATAGCACCACAGAATCAGGTCTATGACTACATTTTGTTCAGGGGTTCTGATATAAAGGATATAAGAGTTGTGAACAATGTAGGACCTTTACAGAATGTACCGAATGATCCAGCAATTGTACAGGTGAGAGAATAAGGGAGTATATCAAGTTTCGTGTTCGTTTTCTAATACACACTGTTTTATGCAATAAATAAGTTATAATTATTTATTGTACATGCATTTCATACATCTGCAGTGCTGTGAATCCCTGGATGGATTTTGTTTATTGGGTTTGAGGGGGAAATATTAAGAATTTGTATGTTATCTGTTTATTTTTGGAATTGGCATAAAGAGTCCTCTAGGTCCAGACTGGCTCTGGGGGTCCACCTAACCTTTCCAGTGGGAAATGGGGTCTTTTGCTGGGTGTAAAGTGCAGTCAGGGCATGACATTAACCACTCATCTCTGTCTAGTGCTAAGTTAAGAATGAGTAGGAGCTATACCTCCTGTCCCCCCATAAGCACCTACATATCATATATAATGGAACAGCCTTTTTTTATTTTGATAAATTGTATTTTGCCTAAGTTGGATTTGACCAGTCCTGTGCACTTTGAATCTGTTCGGATAAATGATTTTTGTTTAAAGTATTGTTATATTTAGTGTGGAGGGGAGAGAATGGTAAATAAACAAACCACGAATATTTGTTTGTGTGCTCGTTAATAGGCTGATTTTCATGAGAGACAGGAAAGATTGAATGTTGTCAGTTTTACATTGGATATTTTGAATTACACAAGTAAATTATTTACAAACGATTTGTATGAACTTACTCATACCACTGTGTTCAGAATCATGAGCACGAGCAAAATATGGAAAAGTTCTATAGCTTACTAATGTTTTTATTTTTTTATTCACCTATGAATAAGAATCTAAGGTCTTTATGATACATATAGTAATGTGTCAAGTAGTAGGTTATATGAATTTTCTTTTTCTTTTTCAGTTGTCTGTTCCAGCTGGTCTTGGTTCATCAGCCTATCATCAAGCTGGAGGTTTTTCGCACCCAGTTCTTGGGCCTATGGGTCCCGGGTTAACTCCGTACCCAGGTGCATATGGTGCGATGGGAGCTATGACAGGTCTTCCAAGTGCTGTTGCCCCAGGAATGAGCTTGCACAGAGATCCTCGTTCCTTATCAAAGCAGCCAAGTGAGTTGGTTAATCCAGTCCAAGTGCCAGAAAATTCAACTAACAAAGACCAAGGTGCGAGAAATGGTAACTGTTTTTGCTATCAGCCTGGGCATGTGTGAATTACAAGAGAGGATTGCTGTGCATTGTTTCCGCTTGCATAAAGCTTTGTAGTGAGTTTGCCAGCAGGATTTTCATTCTTGAATCTGTTTATCTTGATTTTTTGGCATGTTATGTTTTAACATGTTATTAACCTATGTAATTATGAATTACGACTTGTAACAGAAGATTGTTTTGCGTGCTGTGCATGGTTTTTATTCATATGAAGCTTTGCAGTAAATTTACTGGAGGCATTTTCATTCCATTAAATTTGTGTCCGATTGGCATGTTGTGTCTTCCAGTAGTGTAGTATTCACACTTTATTTTTATTCTACTGTATCTGATTGTCGTTTTTTTTGTAAGCTGATGTTGGAAAATTTGAAAAGTATAAATAAAAGTTTGAAGAATTTATCCAAACATGAGGACGGTTAACATTTAGAGATTGTAAGTATGAGGAGAATTGTTAACATTTATAGATCCACAAACTAATACACTCTTGAATAAGGAGGGAATGCTGCAAGGGTCTAATGATATTTTGTGTGCATATTTATGAAAGGGGGATGAAACTGATTGCAATAACTCCTGAGAAATGTTTCTTGAAATATTCCATTCTTCTAGCATGGTGTCTGTTACGCATAATAAAATGGGTGTAATCAGTGTGATTTCTGATATGACCCAGTACTGAATACCTGTATAGATATTTTATTTATTGGTGTAATTTATACTAAATGGAGGATGTTTGAGAAGAGAAGTATTGTACATTATAGCTTAATACATCTTTATTATATTCCTTAGATCCATGAGTTGGATGATAATAGGATGCAGAATAAGTTGTTATAGTACTATACATTTTTTCACATTACAAGTACAGTTCATACTACTATAGAATTTCACATATCATAAACAAAGGAATTCCCTGGGAAGTGAGCCGTACATTGGAGTAAAATTTTCTTATTTGAAAGGTCTTCCAGTTTTCAAAAACCTCCCCTCATGCTGGATAGGTTTTTGTTGTTCTCAATTTTCCCCTTCTGTATTCAATTTTATTAATTTTGTGGTCTAGTGGTTAACACTTCTGCTTTGTATTTGGGAGGTCTCAAGTTCAAATCTTTGCCTGGAGACTGGATATACTGACTGGCATTTTTTGTTCTTTTCCTAAGTCCTTCCAGGCAAATTCCGGGATAGTAGCCATGACCACTTCCTTCCACAACCTTTCCAGTTTGCTATAATCCTGTCATTTGATGCTATATAGTCTGAGCTACTGAAAAGTGTCGTTAAATAAACTATAAATGTAAATGAAATTTAATTTTATTACTGAAAATATTTTTGTTGTGGTACATAGCTATTTTTACTTTTGTCTGGTGACATTTCAAATCCATCAGAGTAACTGACATCACATAAACCACCAGATATCTGACAGCCGTCAAAGTATGAATATGGATCATGGGTGATGATGGAGGTAGCAGGCGCTTCTGAAACACCAGATACAACCAGGGTTTAGCTATTATAAAAATGCTGAAGTTAACATTATTAATTATATTTTGTAATGTAATTATACTGTTGCCATTAACCCACTATTGGTGAAGGAAAGAAACGTTTTTTGATACCTATTCATTTGAGTTTGTGTATAATAAATTGGGTTATATTTTGCTAGTTCCTGAAATGGATGAAGTGATTTTATCATAGTATTTGTGTGGATAACCTTAGTCATATGTAGATATTGATTTGTTGATGGGTTTAAACTGTAAATGTTGTTTCTTTTTCTTCTGCTTAATATTTGAATTGGGCTGTTATTAATTGAATGATACGTTAAATGCATTTTTGTAATATTACCTTTGCTGGTGTGTAAAGCATTGTTTGTAGATTTGTGAGTTATGACATTTTCTTGTATGGTGTTTTCATTTATAGGCATTTTGTCTGCCCTGTTAACACACTGTTATCACATTTATGTTTGGTTATTTATCAGTGCTTTGTTCAGACTTCCATATCTGACCTTGGTCTTGAGCATGCAGTTTCGTTTTCTGTAGACAGGTTCATTTTGTGATTCCTTAAATGATCGATCAGTTTTATATTTTTTTTAAGTATGTGCCTGTCAGGGTTTATCAGGATTTGGACAGAATGTAGATAATTGTTGGGCACCATAATTTGGCTCCTGATGAGGTCTTTCCTATTACTCAGTGTTTTGATCTGAATCTGTTCTCTTTATTTTTGGTGGAAACCCAATGTAGTTGTGTCAACAACATTTTAGAAGCTTTTGCTGGAAAACTGTGTGATGTGGATGTGTATCTATTAGCTGTGTTACTTTTGAATGGATTTGCTGATAGAGCAAATTTGTTTCTTATTGTAGTGTGTCTTTTGTTTCCGAATTCTTCAAGTATTATGTAGACATGGTTAGGATTGCAAACTAACCTATTTTTCTTGAACTTGGATGTGTTTGATGCTGAAAATGAATGCAAGTGGAAAAGTTTGTTTCATAAGCCCTGTTTTCTTAGCAAAAACAGTCTGTTTCTCTCCCAGAAAGGGAAGCTTAAATAACATTCCTGCAAGTATTAGTACTTCAGTTAATATGGGATTGGAATCTGTCTCTGATTCTGTGATGCTTTCCATGCTTTCACTCTGTGTATGTGATGTTAACAAGGTGCACTGCTTTACGTGTATAAAAAGGATTGGTGGTATAGCTTGATTTCTTTCAGTAATGATTATCATCAGTAGGCATTTTTATACTGCTTTATGCAAGTGAAAAGACTGAAGAATTGTGATGTACTCAAACATTACACAGAAGGAAGACATATTTATTGCAAATGATTTAGTCTGTTTACCTGACTTGTGTTGCATTCACAGTTATTGTATTACATAAAATCTTCATTTGAGCTTTATGAACTGCTAAAAATAGAGCTTATAAAATAATAATGTATTTTTATTCATTCTTTGCTGTCAGTGCTTACTTATAAAGCACTAGACTAACCAAATTTTTGGACAAGATTTCAGAATAATTCTTAAGTACAAAAAGAAAGTAGATTGTTTACTTAGATAATTCATTGATTGCGAATAATGATATTAAGGTGATTCTGTAATAGCCATTTATTAATGGTAAAAATATGTATTTTCATATTTACCCTTGGATCTGAGAAAGATGATGGAAATTATGTAATTATGAGAAGTGTACTCTCCACATATTAGGATGGTTAGAGGATGAGATGGGCAGGACATGTAGTATGTGATATGAAACACATTTTAGTTGGAAAGCTTGAAGGGATGAATCTGTGCATGAGTATAGTATTAAAGTAAGCATTCTGAAAGAAGGGCATGATTGGATAGACTCAATTCAGCTGGTTCGTGGTATCGTCCAGTGCCCAACACTTGTGTATGTGGCATTGAAACTTTGGTTTATATAAAAAAATTTGACTGTGCACCTTTTACCCACATGTAAAGGTTCTTGTAATTGGTTATATAGAAAGGAGTAACGATTGTGAGGATGACATTGAAACATTGACTAAATTTAAATATAAGTCAATGAAACAGTCATTATCCAGTTTTATATCTCTTTCAACAAGTGTATTTTCCCTCTATACAATAAAAATATACAGAATAGATTTACTGTAATATAGCAAGTATTAATAACTACGTCACAACCTACTAAATATGGTTCACATTTTGCTGATAATTGCCTTTGTCTTCCTTCTGAAAGGAATGTTATTTGAAGCTTCCTTGGTCACATTGGTATTATGCTTGCTGTTGCTGAAGAACTTCAGTGAGAGGTTCCAGTTATGTAGCTTCTGTTCTAGACCTGATTGGAGGATCATCACGTTCTGCTACACCGTCACTGGTTACTCGTAAGTCTCCTACAATGGACCAGGGTGTACAGGTGAACCAGCCAGTTTCAACTCCAATCAAAGATGACAAGAAACCACAGCAGCAGTTGCCACCACAGACACGGCAGATTCAGACACCTTACTCAGCCAGAGATGGGTAAAGTACCTTTTGGCTTCTAACCTCCAATTATAATTACAGTTTTTGTAGTACTGTCTTTTTGATTATTTTTTTACTTTTGAGGAGTATGCTAAGGCAGTATTTGGAAATTTGTTAGCTGCATTTGTCATATACCTCGAGCCTGGTGTTCCCCTACTGATGTGGCAATAATTTTTGTAAATAATTGTATATTTGCACGTTGTAGCTAGAAAAGACCATATCTGGTTCAACATACATGGTATTATTCACCTTGTGTTATGTTTTGTTTCTATTTGCCTGCACCATCATAGCTCAAGGATTTATATATAGATACATATTTATGGCCATATATATTTTTGTATCTTTTATTTTTTCGGGCAACATTTCATAGTGTGCTGTTGTGTGTCGTTGACATATTAGGATGTGCCACAGGTGAAGAAAGTTTGTGGAACGCTTTGCTAGGCTACCATATGTGAGCTTAGAGTGTCATTTTAGTTGCTAGTAAATAATGGTAGGGAACATACTGTTGCTGTTTTACTGACCCTTATATCAGGATTTTTAATCCTATGAATTTGACTAACATCTGTCTTCTTTATTTGATTTGTATTTATTTATTAAACCAGGATGTAAAATAATTTGTGAAATATGTCTCTCATTGTTTTGTTGTGTCTTATTATAGCACCACTGCCACCAGGTATAAACCCATTTGCAGTTAATAATAAATAAATAATAATAAATATTGAAGGCTTGTTTGAACACTGTTTCTTTCTTGCAGTCCTGTAAGCAGAAGTACTGGTAGTCAGCAGCAACAGTACCATCCCCAGCCTCAACGGGAACAGCGAGAGAGAGAACCTGTACACTCAAAGGAACCGCAGTCTCGTGACCAACAACCAGTATGTTTTTTTATAGTAGTATTGTTTAGTCTCACTATGGCAGGTGTTTGACATCAGCGTCTTATGATGACTGTGCAGTGGACAGAATAGCTCTGGGGAAGGTTTTTCTCAAGAATATTATTCCTCTGCCAGTCATTCATCTGGATGGAAGTAGAACCAATTGAAAATGGCTTTAATATATGAGGAATACAATCCAACAGAATAAAAATGCATTTGAAAAGCTAAGTTTGCTGTTTTACCACACAAAACCTTTCATAATATCTGAAACATATTACATTGTGCACTTAATGCACAAATAATTTTGACTAGTTTTGAACAACTGAGCCTATATTGTATGAAGTACCTAATGTATTACTGTAATTTCTACTAGAGTTTTATAGCACATATTTTAGTTCGCTCTGAGTAATACATGTTCAGTATCAATGTAATTGAGGTTGTGAACATTCAAATAAAATTTGTTTTGTTTTAAGCAGCAGTAATACAGTTATATGGTACTTATTTTGGTTTTATACCTGCTGAAATTTGCTTTAGCTCAGGTATTTGTAAAATTTGTATTTTATATGGCCTGTACATGTGTTACGTTAAATTTTCCATTGTTAGGCTCCTCTTCCTCAGCGGACTTCACAACAACAGCAGCAGCAGCAGCACCACCAGCAGCAGCAAACACCAGGGCGTGGTGGTTGGGTGAACCGTGGTGGAATGCGGCGTGGAAGAGGTCGGGGTGGACCCTCAAGTGGTGGTTTTAACAGGCCACCAGGCTCTGGGCAGCAGCAGACTGGTACTGGTGGCAAGCCCAAGAACACTCTCAAGTTTGAGAATGACTTTGACTTTGAACAGGCGAATAAGGAATTTGATACCCTCAGAAATCAACTGGCTAAAACAAAAATTGGTAAGAATATTGAGGACCCAATTTAGCTGCAGTACTTGTCTGTAGTGTTTGTATTCTTGTAGCTTTTGTTTGGTGTTTAGCTGTGTGATTGGCTGAATTTGACTTTGCCATGGAGAGTTTTGAATAGGCATTTCATGATTTATTTATTTATGTCAAATGGCAGGTCCATAGAATTTCATCTTTGACCCCTTTTTTTTTGCCAGGTTTGTAGACCACTTTGCCGTCAGAGACGTGCATTTCATGGTTTTTCTTTTGTTTTTTCTTTTTGCTTGTCTGATCTAGAAGTTCATCGAAAACATTTTCATTATTCAGGAAATGTAAATATTAGGCTCTCTGACTTGGTAAACATTTTGTACACTTGAGTTTAGTAGTGGCACCTGTGTTCACCTGAAAGTCCCATCCAGCCTTTCATACATCTTTTTTGGCTGTCAATATTTTAGTCTTGACTCTGGAATCATTTGATGGACAAGGTAAAATAAGCTGTCTGGCAGTGAAGAATTTATTTCAGTTTCTTATTCCTTAAATTTTGTCTTGTATGTAACCAACCGACTGACGTGGGTGATGGCCAAATTTATTCAACAGTTCCTCATACTCACACACGTGTACATATCCAGGTTTGAAAATTATTTGTATTATTGTTCTTGTATGTGAAATTTTTTTAAATTGTGTAACTATCCTATAATTTTAATATATTATTTTAATTCTTCTAGTTCACTGTAATTTTCAAATTTGGTATGTTCAAGGGAAGGAATTATAAAATTCCTGAAATGTATATTGTACTAAAAAATTTACATAAACTAAGGAACATAAAGTGTCACTGGCACTGCTTTACGTTCAAGAATCTTGTTGCATTTGTTTTGATTAAGAAGCAAGCAATAACTTTTTGATGACAGCTGGCATGTTTATTCCATTTTCTTGTTCCTGTTGAGCTAATTCTCCATAAATGTGCTTTTGCATGTAATACCATATTTGTGCATGTGCAAGATGCTAACCTTTGACATTGCAATGTTACAGACTCAGAACCTGTTATTACAGGTGATGGGAAAGTGAATGATGACAATGAGAAGAAAGATGACTCTGGAAATGAAACTGGTGCAGGAGAGGGTGAACAAGAGGAGGAGCAACAAATCTTCTACGATAAAACTAAGTCCTTCTTCGACAATATTAGCTGTGAGGCTGTGGAGAGGAGCAAGGGGTGGGTGTTCTGTACTTGATGTAGAGCAACATATCAAATTTAGTTGCACAGCGTCTAATTTTTTTTAAAAGAAGGAATAATAGTAGAGGTATGTAGGCATATATTATTTAACACTGAATAGGATTTTAGGGTGATTATATTGTGAACTAGGAAGTGTGGGAAATGGAATACCTGTGGCCTCTTTCACAGTATCCTTTTAATTTGTAATCTTTTCCGGTTATTTTAGGGTGATAAAATCAAGTAGGATGAGATGGGCAGGAATTGGGGTGAGTCGACTGGATTCATGTGTCTGAAGATGGTCTGGTGGCAGGCTCTTGTGACCTTGAGTTCATGACTGAAGCAAGGCTTCTTTTCTGAACCACCACATTATGTTCTTAATAATAAAATTATTGGTAACTGCAGTGATGCAGTGTTCCATACTGGCATCAGCAGAAAACAGCTTTTTATTGTGAGAGACTGAATCATGCTGCACATGTCAGCTTGTTTCTGCAGTGTCAGTGATGTATGATGTATGACCTGTGAAATGACCCTGAAAACATATTCAGTAATTATGAGCAACATGTCTTCATTAGAATCATGGGTTGCTTGTGGGTGAAATGCTCATTGGTGTTGCGAAGGACTACTACTATTGAGAAGATATGTGTGTTCCTTTTCAAAGTGTGAGAGAAGGTGGTGAAAGGTACACACACATCTTACTATGATATACTATGTAGAGCTTCGTGTCTACAGGATTTTGCAGTCTTTATGAATACTTGTGTACATTTCATCCTCACACTGTCTGAATTTTTATGAAGCAATATTGTTTGTACTTGTGGAACATGTTTTAGAGCAGTTTAACACTACCTTATGCTTTGTACCATATGAACTGATTGTACACTTGTGAAAGGAGGCTGACAAAAAAGCTATACTCTGTCAATACCAGTATGGAGCACTGCATCACTGCAATGTTGCCAGTAAGTCTAGAAGAACTTTTGTTTCTATGTATGTAATAACTAATTACGCGTAATACATTATGAACAGTTATTTTATGTATGTTGATTTTGTCTGTGTGCCTTTGTCTTCAGGCGGTCTCAGCGAACAGATTGGAGGACAGAGCGAAAGTTGAACTCTGAGACATTTGGTGTTGCATCTGCACGCCGTGGAGGATATCGAGGAAGAGGTTACTATGGTAACCGTGGTATGGGTGGAGGTATGTACAGAGGTGGGAACTATCGAGGTGGCTACAGAAGCCAAGGTGTGCAACGAGGTGGGAGAACCAGTAATACTAGTGGAAACACTGGAGGATCAACAGGCAACCCCCAGCAACGTGTTGTCACTCAGCAGAGTAAGTTTACGCTTGTGTATAGTGTATTTACTGGCAAGTAAGATTTTTTCATAATGCAGTAACTGAAGTACTGGGCATAGTGAGTGTTACTGCCTCAGTGAAGTGGTTAGCACCCGTTTTTATTTGGGAGTTCTTTAGTCCAAATCTGTATGGAGACAGCTAATCTGACATACGTTTGTTATGGTTTTCCTTGGTTTCTGCAAACAAATTTTAGGATTGTATCATAAATTGTCCTCGGTTGCTTCCTTCCACATCCTCTTCTGTTCGTTATTCACTTTGTCATCCTATGATTTTCCCCCCTTGAATGTAGGTAGATATAATATGTACATATGGACATACTTTGTAATGGCTTGCCAGTGAAGTTTTGTGCATTAAGTTAATTACAAACGTACTTGGTTAGGATCAGTTAGGCTGTCTGATTTTGACACATGTGCCAGTTTCAATGATTGCAGTCATTTTCCCACCTTTTGAAGATATGTCTTTAAAATCTCTTTACTGGTTTTAGTGTTTGTTGCTTTTCAGGCTGAGATAAATTTGTATCAGAAATATATTTACAATTTTTCTGATGTATTCTTTGCTATTTTCTGTGCTCATTGGGTGTTCATTTATTGCACATCACAATCTCTGTTACAACTATGAAGCTGTTCGTAATTACAGTACAGATAGCACAATTGTATTGTCATTGTATTCATTTGATGACCTCCATAACTAGTAATGAATTCTAGGACTGGGAAGAGAAAAAATGCTACTTAGAGTAAATTGCTAATATTAATCTCTTTCAGATAAATAGGTGTTAAGAGAGAGCTGACCCAGGAGTGTTACAAGGCAAGAAGCAGCCAGTGTTTCACTGAACTGTCTTCAGAATTGTTTATCATCATTTGTATTGCTAAAGTGATTTAGAACTTGAAGCCATCCCTCACACAGCATAGGATTGTTACTTGAGTGAGGTGACTTTTATTTGAAGTTGAAAGCTTGGTTTTTTTAGTTTACTGTTTGTGGCATCAAGAGACTGATGAAGAAAATAGGTGTGGTTCTGTAGAGGGATGTACCTGTTGGTTCAGAGTGAAGTTGTGTTGAGATGTATCTGGGTGAAAATTGAAGGAAGTTTCTTACTTTGGAGCTTGGATTCAGATTGCTAAAAAAGCTGAGAAAAACATAAACCTTGAAGCTGCATGAAAATAGTGATGAGGGAATGCATTGCCACAATTAACTCTTAAGTTGTGTTAGTATAGTTTGATTGGATATTTCTGTTGCCTTGTGCAATTCGGTTCTGGTGTTAAGCTGTGTTTTCCCAGTAAAGGCTTTCAAGCCTACTTTGAGAGACTGATGTGTGAATGTATGTAAGTGATCCAGGAGAAGTAATTAGTTACTGAATTTGATTCAGTCTGATAGTGGGTTGTCTGTCCCAGAACTCAGGACATTTTTTTTTCTTCATTTATCCATGCTACATGACTCAGATTTAATTCCCACAATGTCTAGAAATTGGAATATTTGGGGTAGTATGTTAAATATCGCATTGCAAAATCTTTACTTTTATTCTGAGAATCTGTATATATAGAATGCCCTTATTTAAGTTCAGTATGTGGATGAAGAATTCAAATTTTTCCAATATTGGTATAGTTTGGTTGTGCTACCTAACATAGCGATGTTTTGACAGTTTGTGAAATGTGAGGTTAGGCTTAGAATTCAGAGCCAGTGAGGATGTTAATTTCATAAAATGGTTTATTGGCTATAATGTAATGGTAGCTGGAAGCTAGTACTGTTAATTGTCAGAAATACGTAAACTTTTTTATTTTTTCTATTGCTTCAGTTCATCATTAATGATACTACAGATACATGCATAGGAATGGAAATTAAAATAATTGTAAATGGGGAAGTCAATATACACTTTTAATTTTGTCTGTTAGTCGTTGAGTCATGGTACAAGGCTCTCTGTGCGAAGTTATGCACAGTGTGATGATAAAGGATGGTGCTATGAAGCATCAAGTGCAGTTTTGTGCTTATTGAAACATCTGTATGTGAATTTTGTACACAATGGAAACTGATAACAGTTGAGTCAAAAGAAATACATTAACAGCACATGATATTTTTTATGATTGTATACTGCTTAATCCCTGTGATACTTTCCTTGATAGGTATGAAGCTGGAGAGGATTACATACATGAGTATATTCACTATTTGTATGTTGGTATATGTTGCACTTGCTGGCACCTATTTGAAACAACTTACATACTGCCTCCGTCATCAGGAAGCCCTGATGACAGAGGCAGTATAACCTCTGAAACGTTGGTAAACATCGACCAGACCACACACTGCAACAAACCAGAAGACAGAAATCTTCATACTAACCGCTGTGAAAGCCTCAAATCTTACATATGAAAATAATTGTATTGTAGAATTGGTTTGGGTGAATAACATAAAGTACAAATCACATTAAGATTTAGCATATTTCAATACATTGATGAGATTTGTGGAGAAATAATTTTGTAATATGTGTGGTATATTAATTAGCTATGCAAAAACGTTTGAAACTGGAATACATAAACACACACCAGAGAGTACCATATGCAAAATTGTTTTGGGATGCATTTGGAAAATAGTGTTGATATGATTATTGATTTATGTGGGAAATTTGGATGTTCATCCCATGGTACTCTGGTAAAAGTTAAGTAATAAACTTGGTTTTCGTGTGGGTCATGCAAACAAATGAACATTGGATAAAGTTCTGCATTCAGATGTTTTTTTGTTGGTGTTACATTGGCTGTGGTGTTTGATAATTCTCCTGTCTTCACTCAAGAAATCATAAGGTAAGAAGTGATCTGTTATAATAATGTTCATAAAAAGAATTTTATTTGCATTACAGACGTATAATATGATTTCCAGGTGAATAAAGGCACCAAATATATTTCGTTGGCGGTCTGTAATATTGGTGCATTATGCGGTTTCATTTTCGCGCGTTTTTTCGTTCGACTACGTGTTACAAAATATTCTTGTACGTACGTTTACGGGGCTGGAGCCCAGTGTGTAATTTAGGCTTTTGGGGATTTCATGTCGAATGTTGGGACTCATCCGACGTTACGTAACCCCGACAGCTGAAGTCGCACACTGTTGTAAAGAACTTCAGCTGTCCGTAATAAACCAAGCGCAAGGCTATTGCAAGATAGTAATGTTATCCACGGTGAACAGATGTATCAGATGAAGCTATATGGTGTTCCCGCAGTTGTTTATACCTTTTATAAGGAAAAGCAGATGACAGATTCCTATAATTTATATCTGATATGTTATTTATAAATGAACAGTCACTTGCCTAGCGACCGTGAGAAAATTTGAGGTTATAACCAACGATTTTGACATAAGACGGTTTCTTGCTTGAGTTTATGAATCACTTCTAAGCAATTAATGAATGGGGTCAATAGATGTCAGAATTTGTAATACACACTGGGGAGACATACGAGCAGAAACAATAAAGAGGAATGAGAAATGTAATATAATGGTTCTCATGGTGGTGAAGGTGCCATTGTTTGTATTCTGGGTTGTAATGAATTGTGAACTTTTTATATATATAATTTTGGAGAATGTGTGTTCCTCCAGAAACATGGTACCTACCTATAAGCCAACATTGTATTAACCCAGATTCCGCACTGCATGGGGAACTGTCATTAAAATAAAATTAAAAGTGGCAGAAGTCAGAGCTGATTTCAGTTCATAGTGTATGGCACCTGATATGTGGTAGTTCTCTTAAGATTTATAGAAATTCATACTAACAGGAGTATGCTTATTTCGATCCACATTTCAAGCCAGTTTCTTAAATCTGTGGCCCTTTTTTATATTAGTAAATGGAGAAATGGTTTGAAGTGCCAAAAATCAAATCGCTTTATGCCTGTATTGTCAGTAGTGCTTCAGAAGTACTTGTTGCTTAACAAAATCCAGTCATATATATTGCAGTATGCTTCAGGCAAACCTTTTATTGGAGATACTTAAAATCTGAACATTAAATGTAAACTGTTGAAAATGTTTCTTTAATTGGATATTTTCCACTTTATACATATAATCAATCATTTGGCTATTCAATTTCAATGTACTTAAAGTCAGTGATTATCAGTATATGTATGCTGCAGACTACACCCTCAGCTTCTCATAATGAGGGATTTCAATCTGATATACTGGTTTGTTGCCGGCGCTTACCCATACTGAACCAGGCGTCCCTTCGCGAATCATGTGCAGCACACCTTTGCCAACATTCTCTGTTCTGTTTGTGGGAAAAGAAGAAAAAATGTAAAGTTTTACTGTTTAGATTATTTAAAGATGCTATCTCCACTGCAGTGGTTATGCAGGACTGAATGAGATGAGAGGATGATTATAAGTGTGAATTAAATGTTATCCTTTGAGTGTCTTTAAGTTCTGAGTCATATGTCTCAATTACCATTGTGGATTCATCCTTTCATCATTATCATAGTTCACTCTACCAAACTTTCCTCTCTAAATATGACTTTCGAATTTTGAGCCATATAAAACATACTTACTTCTGTGGTGGTTTATGATTTTCCATTTCATTATAAAACTCATCCATCCATTCATCTTTGTAAGTTATTACATCTGGCTTCTGTTGACTGTCTGGAATGATGTCTGTTTCTGTATAAGCTGGACATATGACCATTACTCTCACTCCAGTAGCTTGATAGAAATAATCTGACTATAAACATACAACAAACAAAATTGCCATCTTCATTTGTAGCCTTCTAAGAATGTTTCATAATTAAAGAAAAATCACCTTTTAACCTTTAATGTATGAGAGCAGGGGTTTTAAACTATGTGCTATAGGGCTGTGGGCAGGATTTTAACTCTGGGGACATCGGTTTAGCTCTATGCTAGTGCAATACACGGTCACCTCCATCCATCCATTGACACTACAGCCAGAGTCGGGCCTTGGCCTCCTCCCATATGGGAGGTTTTCTAGTCTTTGAAGTGTGCATCTGTGAGTAGTGAGTGACAAGCCCATTCCCTCTGCACAATTTGTACTCAATCTTGATTTGTCTGCCCTAGAGCCATCTAGTAGAGAATCAGGAGAGACATGGGTGAGAAATGGGCACAGAATTTTGCTTATGAAACATTTCATTCATTCTCATAAGGTTCTTTTACATGCCATAAATTTATGACATGGGACCGCTGGCTTTACTTCCCCTCCAAAGGAAGTTGTGTTACAGATTTTTATCACCCTTAAAAATCCATCGACCTCGGCCAGGTTTGAACCTACGAACTTTGGGTCCAATGGTGAGCATGCTAACCACCAATCCACCAAGGGCAACACACAGTCACCTAGGTGACACATAAGCCACAGTGCATGGATAGTAGAGGATAAAATTTCCTTCACGAAGCATGCCAGTTTCACTGACATTTTGCACAGAAGAAGAGGAAATGTCTAATTATTTTTCCAGTACTTATGGTACAGAATTGTATCTCTTTTGGCCTTTATCGTATGGGGTAATGAATTTAAATTTCCATATTATGGGACTGCCAGCTGGATTTTAACTCTGGGGGGGAGTTTAATGGTAGTGGTATGGTACTGTGACAAAGCCAAGTGGATTGTATGTAAAGTATTATGAAATGCTGATAAATGTTAAATATGAATATTGGTATGGATGTGTGTTAATGCATGGACAAGAATAATATTATTTTGAGTTGATAGAAATAAAAATATAAAAAATGGTCACTGAGGATGACTGGATACTGAAAAAAGTGAGGGAAGATATAAATAAATATATCAGAAAAAAATGAGAAACATACAGAAATGTTTATGGGATGACGGAGAGGAATGCAGAAGGCCTTGAGATACATCTGTCCACCCATTTGGACACATCTGTTGATGACAATGACAATAATGACAGTGATGATGCTATAGGCTAAACAAGGGGAAAAATGAAAATTAGAATGTGCAATGGCTCATCTAAAGAAAACACAATGATAGTAAACTGAATACTTAACACTAGTTTGGTTCATGACACTAGCAGAATGTTTTAAAAGCATTATATGTATGTGAAATATGCAGAATAGGAGCCAGATGATTTAGGTTTTGAGAGATGATCTAAATGATTGGGAATCATGACTCTACTTTTGTGTACTTCAGCAATGTAAATATAGTTCATGTCACTGCATTATACCAGTTATAGAATTACATTCATTCTCATAGTAATTCTTACCCCCAAAGTACGACTCAATCCAATAACAGCATGCTTCGTGGCATTGTACACTGGTGTGATATTCAATCCTTGTCCTAGACCAGCTATTGAGCCCATATTGACCACTGTGCCCCCTTTTCCTCCTGCAGATTTATCCATGTACTTTAAGGCTGTTAGAGTACCTTGGATAACCCCATTCTGTAAGCATATAAAATTGCTGAAACACAATTCACATTAGCAATAAATATTAAATTAAAACAGTGTGAAAGAAATAAAAGCAGTTAATTTGAACAATAAAATATTTCACTACTTGCTCAGATGTGTTTCCTACAATTTGGGATTGTAGCTTATTTAAAGATATAATTTCAGATACAGAGATTATTTATTGTTAATGGATGTCCACTATGTATGAGCAGGGAAAGCACTCATTTTTCACCTATTCTTTTATTAAACTGTACTGCAATGAAACTGCTTACTTATTATGATTATATATGTATGTATATTCCTGTTCACCATTTCTCTATTACTTACTGCAGTGATAACATGTAGTGAACACTTTATGATTTAGTGGCTACCAGGCAACAAAAAATTCTGTCTTCTACATTGTTAAAACGAGCCATTTTTGGACTTACCACCATGGAAACCTCAAATCCTACTTATTTTAATCTCTTACACAAAAGAGAAAAAATATATTCATGGATGTGTATTCCTCTTATTTTTGAAGTCCTGCCTCCTTGGTATTCATTTATATACTTTATAAGAATAATATAGTGCATTACATGCAATTCTTGGCCTCTGAAATATCCAGTTTTTTTACTACTTACAAGATTGACAGACACTACATATTTCCATTTTTTCTCATTACATAATCCTGCGTTGTTGACGACAATGTCTAGATTACCAAACATCTTGATAGTTTCCTTGAAAGCCTCTGAAATATTAATTATATGATACAATGTAAGTGTTGAAACCATAAAAAATAAATGTTGAAGCTGCAGCACAAATCGTTAACTCTTTACAGTACCTGTGTTCAAAACCGTATATTTTTAAACAGGACGAATATTTCTTGTTGAATATTGAGTATTTATTTATTTCCGACCACTGCTGGCACAGTTTTATTTTTATTTTGTTTGTTTTTGTCCGCTCTTCTGAAATTACCAGGAAGTAGTTACGAGTGATCCAATATGATTGGCATTAGTTACAGAGGATTCATATTAAATATTTTTTTGGTTTTATTATTGAAGAATTTTATCTTGGCACTGTGAGAGCAGACTAATTTGTTGTAAAGAAACTCTAACAATAAGATTATTTGGTTCTTTCTTCTTGACAGAATTAGTATATTACTGATGTTTTAGAATACCATTAAAATTGAAATAATTAATTAAGATCTTATGTCTAAATTGGGCCAGTTTCATGTTATTATTATTATTATTATTATTATTATTATAGGTTGTCAACTTATTTGTGTATTATGTGTTCAAATGTTAATATAAATAAAAATAGTTGGTTAAAAATATTTATTTCCAATATTATTGCACAATATAAGTACGTGAGAATTTGTAAGAAACCTTCAACTTCTTCCTCTTTGGAAACATCAGTCTTGATAAATATTGCTCGATCTTTCCCAAATTCCTTTTCCAGCTCTTGTATTTCATTTTCAATTTTCTCCACCAGGATATCACAGATTGCAATGCCCTGTAAAATAAAATTCCTTACTGACTCTGGCTAGCTTCCAGTGTCGAGAATAAGAATTATAGCTCAGAGATTAGCAGTAATAATACCTACAGATTCCATCCCTTTTCCTTTCTTTATAGCAACAGAGTGTTGGTGATGCTTAATAATGTAGAATCTACAGGTTTGTGATAATTGTTGATTTATTATACAGATGTTATTTTGTACATTTTAAATTATTTGAGATATACTTGATATAGCATATACCGGGTTTCCATTTTATGAGGCTGCGGTCATGCTTGCATTGCGTGGTCGGCTGGCGATCTGTTGACGTCAGCAGGACTAGTTCGTGTTCTTCCCATGAGTCACCGGCGAATCAGTTTCATTGCGTCTCTCGTTGCGGATTGACGTTGGTAATATGGTGTATAGTATTAAGCAACGTGTGTTCTTAGTCAAACATATGCCAAATATTCATCCTACGGAAGATGCCGCCGTAAATATCGCAGACATTTTCCCGGTGTAAGTGTTCCTAGCAGGCCCATGATAGAGAGCTTAGTAAAAAATTTCGTAGTACGGGATCAGTTTTGGATAAAAAGAAGAACAGGAAACGGAGTGTATTGACGGAAGAGAAATTGGAGAACTTAAAGAAAATATTCGACAACTGATTTCGGCAATTACCCCAGAAGAGCTTCGTAGAGTATTTCGAAACATGTTAACGAGATGTGAAACTTGCCTGCAAGCACAAGGAAGTCACTTTGAACATCTTTTGTGATTTAAGGTAAGAACAATTAATGTAATAACATGTATTAGTGACGAGAAATATTCGTAGTTCGCTGTTACTAGCGGCACTGAAACTGATTCGCCGGTCACCCACCGGAAGAACGAGCACGACTCTCGCCCGCATCAACGGGGTGCCGGCCGATCAGGCAATGCAAAGTCACGACCGCTGCCGCATAAAATGGAAACCCGGTAAAACATTTCAGGACCCTTCAGGTGAATGGTTCTCATTAAACTGACAGACTTTTTATTTTAATGCAGGGCGTTTCAGTGTTCCTGTAAAAAATAATAACTGTTGGAAGTGGTTCTAAAATCCCTGTATGTGACACACACAAGTCATGTGCACCACCAAGTGTGTGTGTGTACACATGCACATAGGGACATTTCAGTCACTTCCCGCCTCCACCACTCATTGGTTCTACAGGCTCACAAGGACTTTGTATTACTCTGTTTTACTGACATTATTAATAGTCTCATGATTATTATATTAACGTAGTATTTGGAAGGCCACGCATTTAAATCTGACCATAATCACTAATGTTAAAAATAAAAAATTAATGAAAATGTTGTCAGTATAATGACAACCAATGATCTAAAGATACGCAGCCAACTCCCAAAATGTTGTGTCTCAGACAGTGTACAATACTGATCATAATATTGGCGTAATAAAGATTATTACTCATTCATCTCCTCTGTAATTTTATAAAAGTAAGGTGCTGTTTCACTCTGAGTAAAACATTTCCTCAGGTTTGGAGCGTTATTACTTAGGGAATTAACCCAATTCTGTGCCCTTAGTTTTGCTGTAGATTTATTATGCACTTTGTTGTTAAAACTCTTATTATTCAAAATACCTTCACTCCCTCTCGAAGAAGTTCCTTGGCAATCGCAAGTCCTATACCCCTCGCTGCTCCAGTTACAAGAGCTACCTTTCCCTTTGGGTCCATATTACCTGTAAGTGAAGCCATATCAAACTTGGTGTCTGATGCCTGTTGGGTCCACACAAAGATAGGAAATGTGATTAGTCTGAAATAAATAGGAGATTGATGTTGAAAGAGGACTACAAGAACTATTTTGAATTTGTGCATTTATGTAAGTAATGGAAGAAAGTGGGAAGTAGTTCAAGTTAGTTGTTCTTAATATTCTTCCTCATCTAATAGCTGTTTAGCTTTAGTCCAGGAGGTCACAACGTTTTTAAGACTTGAGGTCTCTCACATTCTTTATTATCGCTTGCGGTTTGCCAACACTTCATGACTGTTAAACAGTTCCAATATATCCTCAGTATTTTTCTTTCTAAAAATTTGATTTGTTTTTATTAAAGATTCACTTACACTGAAAAGATATTTTTTCGGTATGCAGCTTGATACAATGGTACAAAAATGTACGCGGATTACAAAGAACACTGACGGGTCGCATGAGGCCCGGAGGCCGAGAAGCTTAACTTTAAAACCTACCAACTATTCGATCAATTGTTACACACAAAGAAAAAAAAATGGCAGTAGTCGACATCTTGAAGGCGATCAGAAGTGGAAGTTTGTTTTCGTGTAAAGCCACTGTGGTGGTGATTGCTCAGAACAAGTCTCTTATCATTATCCTTCTTAATTTTGAAGACATTTAAACACTTACCTAAACGCAATGTTTCCGCAGTAACTAATTCTTCGTTTTGTTAATAAGAATTATGCTGCAGTTACGTTTAACTCACAAAGGTCTAGTCACAAGATTACTAACGCAGACCACTATCTTTGCTAGTAAAGTCTATACACATTACGTAACGTGTGGATATCGTGGAGCTGAAGTCGCAAGTGTTGTTAATGACTTGCGTGTTTGTGGACTATCGTGTTCTCTTTCTGTAATAAATAAATAAAATAAAATTCCTGACCAACTTAGTATGCATAAAACTTCTAACGGAAGATTACGTTGTCGGCTCTTCTGGGTTGTAGCGCCGTGTAGTCTGGTAGAAGTTTACAGGTCCTTGCTGCCTCCCCTGATGATGGAGGCTGCAAGGACCTCCGAATCGGTGGTAAACGTCTGCCCGACTACACGGCAGTTCAACCCTGAACATCTTCGGACTCACCGCCCTAGAAACCTCAAATCCAACGAAGATTACTATGTTAGTCACCGTATTAATTAACCTATTAATCCACTGACTGGTGGCAGGGAGTTGATCGATTAAAGCATGAATTTATTGACGATTATTATTATTATTATTATTATGTTCTATAATTTTTACTTTTGACGTAAATACATCTATGTGGAAGGGTCATTCCGCAAAAAAGTGTAACGAAAAAGTGACAGGAAAATGTGTAAAATCCGATAACAATGGTTACCTAGGGAACGTCGTGTTTACTCGGCATTGTTGTTATCTAGGAAACATTACAATACATTACTTTACATTACATTCATCTACCACAGACCCATCATAGGCGTAACTAATTCAAGTTAAATAAGCAAAGTCTTAATCAAACTTTACGCAATTGTAAAGCATATATAAAGGAAATATTTAGAATAAAGCCGATATATGAACTTCCTTTCCGTACCGACGTATTTACGTCAAATTCTCCGGAACCGTGGTTCCACTGACAACTTTTTCCGATGCTGCAGTGAAACATGAAACAACTTCCCCTTTCTCTCAGAGGATGAGTTACACGGTAATCAGCGCGTAACACTGTATTCTGTTATTACGATCGTACTTTTATCAACATAAGAGCCCAGACTCATTGTATCAAATCTAATCTTGAAATACAGTAAAGATAAGTTCTCCTTTCTTGAAAATGAATTGCTATTGCACAACATTACTTAATTGTTCATTGTCCATCTTTAATTATTTCTGGAGAATACACCAGGACGTTAAGCATTGGTTGTCCGCATTCTTACTGCTGGGCCATGCATTTCTTCGAGTGCTTAGATCCCCCCCCCCCAATCGTCCTCCACCGATGCCCCACATTCATTTACGCTTCTTGTGCAAGTTTTGGCTGGGGACGTTATAAAAACCCGTACACTTATCTGAGGTATTAAATTCATCCATCACCCTCGAAGTAGTTCCCCTGGGAGTGAACACAACGATCCTAGCGCCGCTGCCAAGCCTGGAAGCATCCCTGGAAATCTTTCTTTGTCAGCCTGTCAAGCACCATCTGCGATTCTGCCTGAATCTCTTCTATCGTGTCAAATCTCCTTCCCTTTAGCTGAATTTTCATCTTTGGGAAGAGGAAGAAATCACACGGCGAATAAGTAGGGTGCGGGATGACGGCCATGGTGTTTGAGGCCAAAAACTGTCGAACTTTGAGGGCGGTGTGCGCTGGTGCGTTGTCATGATGCGTCGCATGTGGAGTTCTTGCTTTAGAATCAGCTGACAGGTTCCATAGCCTATCCCAACAATGTCGCACAAGTCGTTGATGGTACGACGTCGATCTTCGTGAATGGCCTGCCGAATCTTCGTAACATTTTCGGGCGTTGTGCTCGAAGATGGTCGTCCAGAACGCTCGTCATCATCGACAGAGGTTCGGCCATTTTATGTATAATAGAGTGTCAAGAGACTCTGGCAGTTGCCTAAAATATTTCTGGCGCGACGCGCGCGCTTAAATACGTGCATCCGTACGCACATTCGGAGAGCAGCGAATGTTCAACAATGAAGATTTCTGTCTTCTGGGTTGCGCTATGTAGTCTGGTCGATGTTAACCAACGTTTCAGAGGTCATACTGCCTCCGTCATCAGGGCGAT